AATAAATAAAGTTCAAATCCAATCTTCTATCCCCATTTTGGCACATAGAAGAGCCCAATAAAAATGAATCTTTTTCCTTCTCTTATTTTGCTTAAAATAAACTACAAAAATAAACAAATGTTCAAAGAGTAAATGCATAAATCCCAAAGAGAAGGAGCATACTTTGTTGCAACATTCTTTATGTGCTTGGCCATCCGGAAAATGTGCTCCTCGGATTCAATCACATTGGGACCCGCTAATAAGAAAAATGGTTCTGCTGCCTGTGGAGATTGATCAAATCAAAGATTAAAGTACCCATTGGAGCCATAAAGCATCCAAATGCATATACCCTTTAACACAAGAATTTAAAATATCCCAACAAAGTAAAACCTTGAGCTGGTTATATAGCACTGTTGATGCATCCATCTCTGCCACTTCGCTGAAACACAAATGAGACTACATTAAAGCATTCAAAGTTTCAAACATAACACGCACTAAAAATTGTTGATTTAAGAATTCAGATGCTGATAGTCTGTCTAAGATTCTGAGGTATTCTAATTTTTCCCGCATTTTTTTTCCGGGCAACCAAACGGAACATAAAATGAAGTGCGAATGCAAATTCAAACTCAAATGAAATTTATTTTCGCAGATCTTCAAACACATTACAGAATACAAAAGCAAAAGAGGTGGATCAAGCAGAAAAATTTACCTCACTTTAATCACAAAAACAGAAGGAGCTTCAGTGAGTAAGCAGAGACGAGTTACCCAGATAGTGTTTTTATCCTCTCTTTTTTCTGAAAAATAATTAAAAATAATAATTCTGTCACCGACTCTCCGTCCCTGTCATTGAAGCTGTACTGTGTGAGTGTGGTGGGTACGTGCGCGACTCTGTGTAATGGAGAGGGTCCAAGAAAGTTGGAGGCCCAACTCACAAAATTCTCTTCCTTCTTAACTTGTGGTTTGGGCTTAGTAACCCATTTGGTGACAAAAAATAGTGGACTTACTAATTCTCTGGTGATTAGAGAGCTTGTAAGTAATTCACGTTGATTTGGTATAACAATGTTTACATCACGGTTCATATTCATTTGGTTTACTTCTCAAACTATTTTATCGTTGAAGATCGAGAAATTTTAAGAGAAAAATGACATCATATTCAAATAGTTTAGGAATGTAGTCTTTGATATTAAATGATTAATACAAATTTATAGAATGAAAATAATTGTTAATGACAGTAACACATAAGAAAATCTCAAGTGTTAAAAAAAGAATAAGATTATATAGAAAGTATTTACGCTCTGGAAATATTTTTGCTCACTACTTAAACCTAAGGTGTATTCTCATAATCCTTTTCAACACTTGACACGTGTCAATGGGCCTAATTATAGTCCACGTGTCCATGAGATTTTCTTACTTGTTACTATCATTAACAATTATCTCCAAGTAAGCCAAATCAAATCAAGCTAATTGCAAATTAGTTCAATTTAATTAAAGATTACACCTTTTCCCACCAATCAAGTCAACTAATAAACTTTTCTTACATCATCTCGAACCAAAAAAAAAAAAAGATGTTCTATTTTGTGGTGTGCATAAGGCTTAAAATATATAAAAATGGTCTGCTGAGTGGGCATGGCAACTCATGCGGCGGCTAACTACATATTTCTGACTTCCTTTTTTTCTTCATTCTTTTAAGTTTTAAAGATATCAAACAAAAGAAGTTAGCGAGGCTAGAATTCACATTAAAATAATTTTTTTGAGACTGGATGTATTGATGTTTTCTAACTTACCTGTAGGATTAGATGTGATATATTGTATCCTGCAAACAATCTTCTAGAGCAGTTGCTCCTTTCTCTACTTTCCTAGATGAGAGAAAAACTCGCCTACATATATATGATCATGTGCTACTCATGTGATATGTCAAGTATGAGACACCGTTCATCCGTTCCATGGTGTAGGCAAGTTTTTCTCCGAACGGGGCATTGAAAAGTGAAAACCCATTCTTCAGAATTCTTTTAGTATGCAGTTGACAATTCTGTTAGATCATACTTCCTTAGCTAGGTCGGTTGAATTGAATATTCATGAGGAACGATTCTATTCATTCTATGATGGTGTTTCTTAGGTCATCAATGGGTAAAGAGTTGTATTAAATATTCAACCATGCATATAGCTGCAAGATGTGTGCATGTCTCCACCAAATCCGGGCACATTATTATTTATAATAATACTAGAAAGATGAAGACATAATATCGACATTATTGGGTAGACCTTCTTAATCCAAGCGCCAAATCGATGAAATCTAAGCCAAACTCCCTTGATCAATGTGTGTGGATGACAACATTCTGTCTTCATCTTATAGGCAAACATGCTAACTTGAAAGTGAGTCTTTTTCTAGCTGTCTCAGACACCCAAATTTCAAACCATTTTTCTTTTTCTTTTTTCTGTCATCTCTTCTCTTAAAATCATTTTTTTTATATGACCATCATGGATCTGTAATACCATTCACTATCCCTTCAAGCAGAATCTGGTGGGGGTGCCTGCAGAGGCCTGACAATTTAAGTACATATGTATTTTGGAGTTTAGGCCATCCACCCTATTCTTAGTGCCACCCACATGCACTGCATACAACCTCTGAGTCCTGTTATAAGTTTTGACTAAGAGTTATTTTTCCATCTCTTTGTTCTGCTAACAAAGTGTCTCAAATCATCCAGCAGTGCACATTTCTCTCTTTCCACATAAGAATAAACTCCATCTTTCTCAAACACCCAAAAGGCAAAAACCAAAGAAGCATTCACTAGAAATCTTTTCCCTCCTTTCTTTCTCTTACCTTTTTCACTTCTCAAACCATGTTCATTCTTCAGGTAGCTCCCTCTTTCAACATGTTGAAGATAATATCAGTCCTAATTCTTCTATTTCCCACTATGGTATTTGGAGACTGTACATGTGAATCTGAGGACACAGAGCACAACAAAGAAGCTGCACTTAAGTACAAACTAGGTTCCATAGCTTCCATCCTTGTTGCTGGTGCTGTTGGGGTCAGTCTGCCATTGCTAGGCAAGAAAATCCCAACTCTAAGGCCAGAAAATGACATCTTCTTCATGATCAAGGCCTTCGCAGCAGGTGTGATTCTAGCAACTGGGTTTATTCACATACTACCAGATGCATTTGACAACTTGACCTCACCATGCCTCAAAGAAAATCCATGGGGAAAATTTCCCTTCACTGGTTTTGTTGCCATGTTATCTGCCATTGGAACACTGATGGTTGATTCATTGGCAACCGGGTACTATCAGAGGTCAAACATAAAGTCCAACCAAGTGACAGTTCATGAATTGGAGACGGGTGATCATGTACATGGTCATGCAGCAGATCATGTACATGGCCACACACATGCCACACAGAGTCATGCTCATGGCTCTGAAGAATTGATGTCATCAGAATTAATCAGGCACCGTGTCATTTCGCAAGTAAGGAACTTTACTGAGAAAAGTAAGCATCTCATTACTATTTATTTTGTTCTCTGGAATTTTAGCTTCCATGGTCATCTTGTAGGTCTTGGAGCTGGGGATCCTAGTGCACTCAGTTATAATTGGAATATCATTGGGTGCTTCCCAAAGCCCTGAAACAATAAAGCCTCTCATGGTGGCTCTGTCTTTCCATCAATTCTTTGAGGGCATGGGACTTGGTGGCTGCATCTCCCAGGTTTGACTATGCAACCTCTAGTAAGGACCAAGTAGGAAGTTGGTGTTTTAAAAGGAAACCTAACTATGACTAGCTAAATTCTCTTTTGACTTGTTATATACAGTGCATTCTCTTGATCATAAAAGGATTTCTCTATTTGTCACAATTGCATTCTGATTCATATCTACACTATCATGATCTCACTTACAATCATTAAGCTCCTTCTCCACTGCTTTGCAGGCTAAATTCAAGTCTCGGTCTGCAGCGATCATGGCTGCGTTTTTCTCCCTCACAACCCCAGTAGGGATTGCAATTGGGATTGGCATATCAACCGTTTACAATGAGAGCAGTCCCACTGCTCTAATTGTTGAAGGGACTTTCAATGCTGCTGCAGCTGGGATTTTGATTTACATGGCTCTTGTTGACCTACTGGCAGCTGATTTCATGAACCCTAGACTGCAAAGCAATTTGAGGATTCAATTAGGAGCATATATTTCACTTCTTCTAGGGACTGGTTGTATGTCTGTCATAGCCAAGTGGGCTTGAGGTTCCCATTACATATTAAAGTGTGGTTTGTTAATTAAGGGTGTGTCATAATCCTTGAAGCTGAGCTGTGAGGTGTTTTTAGGGCTTTAATCCTTGCTTGGAATGAAGGTATTCGAAGAATTAAAGTGGAATTTGACTCTATCAAGATGTTTCTGATTAAAGGTGAGATTATCACACTCATCCTTTGTTTAGTCTCACATAGGCTGAAACTCTAGTTTGGGTTATCACGTTTTAGAGTCTTCCCTTTCTCTATTGTAGGCCTAATGGCCAATGATACTGCTAGCGTGCTAGGGTTGTCCCAACGCTTTTATTTTTGGACTTTGGCTCATTTAGATGTGGCCCACTATATGGTTGTCACTCACACGTGAGGAGCGTGTTAAAGATTGTAAAAATACCATATCAAAAACTTGATAAAATAAAATATACAAGTGTGTGATTGCGAGGAATATAAATTTTATTGCATCTTTGTGTGACTTCAAAAATTCTGGAGTGTGGGAGGGTGGGGTGTAACGGAAAAAGAAAGTACATTCAGATTCCTTCTATGGCTTTCGACACCAAGAGAGGGTTCAATTTTTTATTATTATATTTTTCAAAAGTACATGCTGTACCAATCTTTATCTACTAAGAATCAGATTTTTTTTTTCACTACTACAATTATGTTAAACTACGACACCCAAAAAACGACCCTTTATATAAAAACTGTCGTGGTATTTTAAAAGACGACCAATTTTATAACACCGCCCTGGTAAAGTACCTAATACACCAATATGTTAAGTTGATTTTTAAAATTACGACCATACCTTATCAGGACCGTCGTGTTTTCAGGAGGCGCTAACAACAGTTCACTTTAAGTTCGCGAGCGCGGAGCTTTTCAGAAAACACTCGCTCTCTCAGACACTATGCTATCTCAAATTCTCTCACGAAACTTTCACAAAACCCTCGCTCTCTCAACTCTCTCTCACATCGATGAAGCACATCTCCCTCTCACCATCCACCGAGTTTGCAGAGATCGCCATCTCCATCGCGTCATTCAGTCCACCGAGCTCACCGCGTTCAGTCCACCGAACTCGCCTCGTTCGCCAAAATTTATTCTCTCCCTCTGAAAACGAACCAAGCTCAAGCACTAATTTGAAGGGAAAAACCCCAAGTTCTCTCTCTCTCTCTCTCTCTCTCTCTCTGTTTTCTTCTTCTCCTTTTTTGATTTTTTTAATTTTAATGAGGGTTTTAATGTCAGATCTGGTTATGATTGGCTCGCGAACACTTTGCAATGGGTATGTTTTATTATGTTTGGTTTATTATCGAAGAAACTGTGTATGTTTTATTTTGTTTGATTTAGGTTCTTCCATTAAAGATGCTGGTGAGTTGATTTAGGAATTAGGGCTTTGGGTATAAAAAGCTGGTAAGAAATCCACACCATCGACTATTTTAGGGATTTGATATAGAATGTTAATTTTGGTCTGATTTAATGTAATTTGATGGAATTTGGACTTTAACTTGCTGAATTCTACTTGGGTTTGTTTTGGTTTTTGCTGATGTTGGTTGAATTGTCTTGGAGCTTTTAGCTATTACTCTGTTTTTGGTCTAAAGGAGTGTTTTGTGATTCATTCTGATGGATGAAGCCAGCTTTGAATCTGAATTTTGAGATTGTACTGAATTTAGTCATTAGCACTGGTCGATTCTAATAATTTTGTAGGTCAACAGTTCTCTCTTAAAATTGGCCCTTTTTTTTGTCTGAAAAAAAAATTAAAAATTGGCCAATTAAGCAAGGATTTTAGAAGCAGATTTTAATATGTTTTCTTGGTTTGGTTGTGATATAATGTAGGATGGATTCCTCTTTTTTCTTTTCCACTGTGGTCAATATAAACTTGCACGAAGTTTGACTTATGAGAGGCAATCTTCATCAGTGATTTCTTATAAGATAATATTCATCAGTGATTTCTTAAAACAGTGTTCACCAGTCATTCTTTTCCTAATTTGATTTCCGGTTTTATATGATGTCATGGGATGATAAACAAATGGGAGACTATAAGGAATGCGAGTGCTTCTATTTTAATATATCATATACCAGATACATTTGGTACTAGCTGTCACTTTCAGATTTATTATTTTCTCATTATTTTAACTAAAATTTCAAGACATAATAGGCATACTAATTATATGAAAATATCATTTTTCTATGATAAAACTTTATTTTTATGGAGAAATTCATGGATTTATCAAGAACAGATCATAATCTATGATGCCTTTTAACATATTTTTATCTAGTTATCCACTGCTTTTTACCTTTTTTTCTAGCTAGAAGAGTGTATATTCATGTTATACATGGACAAGGGTTAACTTGGAAATTATTTGAATCCACTATTCAAGTAAAACATTCTAAAAATGTGTTTTATCAATTTAGCAGTCTCATAGTAATTTGGTGACAAGAGTTTGTGTAAAGTGAGCCTACACAAGGAAAGACACTTGCATTTTGTTGGTTATCTAAGTTAGTATTTGATGGTATTTTTTATGCAATGACATTAACCAAGTATACTTTTGCTGCTATACATATCTAAATAGTAGGCACTACGGTTTCAAATTTTGGGGATTGTTTTGGGATGGAAGGGTTAGAAAATGCAGGCCTGGATACTAGGTCTGTGGTAACTTATGAACTCTTCAACTTTAAGTCCACCAGGGAGAAAAATCCCCTCCTGCAACTTGTTCATTGTTGTGAGGAGGGTTGGGATTATGCCCCAGTTACTGTTTCTTTGTTAAAATAGAAGTTTAAGTAACTTTAAGTAATATTTTCTGTTGTTTTCAGTAGAAATAAGATGAATTTCACATATTCTATATGATTAAAATAGAAGTTTAGGGCAGGTTTGGCTATCTTGGTAAGGATTATACTCGGGGTTTGAACTGTCAGTTGGTGCTGTAGTAACACTCATCAATGGTAATAGACTATGAATATATGAAAAGCATTTTTTAGCAGTATAGGGAAAATAAATCTATATATTTTCAGAAAAAGGTAATTCCAAGAAGTGCTGTATTATTAAAGTGTAGACCATAGTAGCTTTAGTTAAAATTTTGTTTTTGTTTTTCTGATTTGGTACAGGTTGCTGCTACAAGGAAGCTTACTCAGTGGTCAAGAAAGGTACTAGCATACAACTTTCTTTGCCTTGCTCCACTTGAGTTGTCAGTCTGTAACAAAGCTTCAAGCATGGCATTTCAAGTATTTTGACCTATTGTTGCTGATATTGCTAGAGTGGAGGGGGGAATACAACAACTTGGAAAATGTGCAAGGAAGGCGGAGCTAACTCATACATCCAAGAACAAATTGATGAAGTTTGTATCAAATTAGTAGAATTTGTGAGCAACATGTAGCTCCTTTATTTCTAATTATAGGTAGGAAGTATGTATGTAATAGAATAAAGATTGGTTGACTATGTAATGACTATTGAATCTTCAAGTTTTATGAAAGAAATAATTTTTGAATCATTATAATCGGTTTCCTAGTTGAAATTGTTGTATGGAATCATAGAAAACAAAAAACTACAATGTAAAAGCTTGGAAACTTATTAGACGACATATTTAAAGAAAATAAACGGTGGTTTTACCGTCGTCTGTACATAAAAACGACGACAATTTTAAACAAAATAATGTCTTCTTTATATACAATCAATGACGGTATTTAATAAAATACTGTCATTTTTACCATATATAACGACGGTTTTCCAAAAAGCGTCGTCTTTTTCATAAAAACGACGACGGTTTTTAGGAAAAACCGTCGTCTTTACATTTAATAGACGACGGTTTTTTAGAAAAAGTGTCGTCTTTACATGTAATAGACGACAGTTTTTTTATAGAACCGTCGTCTTTACATTTAATAGACGACGGATCTTTTAAAAACCGTCGTTTTTACATATAATAGACGACGGTTAATTACCGTCGTAGTTTGACTTTCAAAAAGACGACTGTCGATTTAACGACGGTTTGAAAAAGAAAATTTGAACTGTCAGTTGGTGCTGTAGTAACACTCATCAATGGTAATAGACTATGAATATATGAAAAGCATTTTTTAGCAGTATAGGGAAAATAAATCTATATATTTTCAGAAGAAGGTAATTCCAAAAAGGGGAGCTCCTATGCTATTACAGAATTCTAGTTAAGATTCCTTTTGGTTGTTGCTTTGGTAAACTACCAATCATCAGTTGTGAAGTTATTTGAAGCTATCCCTACATTACATACAAGCATATATGAATTCATGGTTGCATGCACGATATCTTTTCTGTTGGCATTGTATTCTAAAGCATTGTGTAGAAAAACTTGAATAAACGCATGTGCTAGTGATAATTATGCCGTCTGCAAGCATGTGGCTGCAATGTTCTTTCTAATCATCTTTGTCTTGCTGACTTGGATTTGCAGATTAAACTCATGAAGGAGATGTACTTGACTAAACTACATGAAATGCATTAAAAATATTGCTACTAAACTTGAGAAGGTATGTAATCACTTCTTTTCTTTCCTCATATAATTCGTTGTATGACGGTAAATTCGAGTAGTTTCTGTGAATAAAACAACCAAATGTTTGTTGTTTGGGAATTGAAAGACATGGATTGAAACATGTTGTGAAGTCTTATTATTTTTGTTTTTTTAAATTGTCTTTTGACCTATTGTTGCTGATATTGCTAGAGTGGAGGGGGGATACAACAACTTGGAAAATGTGCAAGGAAGGCGGAGCTAACTCATACATCCAAGAACAAATTGATGAAGTTTGTATCAAATTAGTAGAATTTGTGAGCAACATGTAGCTCCTTTATTTCTAATTATAGGTAGGAAGTATGTATGTAATAGAATAAAGATTGGTTGACTATGTAATGACTATTGAATCTTCAAGTTTTATGAAAGAAATAATTTTTGAATCATTATAATCGGCTTCCTAGTTGAAATTGTTGTATGGAATCATAGAAAACAAAAAACTACAATGTAAAAGCTTGGAAACTTATTAGACGACATATTTAAAGAAAATAAACGGTGGTTTTACCGTCGTCTGTACATAAAAACGACGACAATTTTAAACAAAATAATGTCTTCTTTATATACAATCAATGACGGTATTTAACAAAATACCGTCGTTTTTACCATATATAACGACGGTTTTCCAAAAAGCGTCGTCTTTTTCATAAAAACGACGACGGTTTTTAGGAAAAACCGTCGTCTTTACATTTAATAGACGACGGTTTTTTAGAAAAAGTGTCGTCTTTACATGTAATAGACGACAGTTTTTTTATAGAACCGTCGTCTTTACATTTAATAGACGACGGATCTTTTAAAAACCGTCGTTTTTACATATAATAGACGACGGTTAATTACCGTCGTAGTTTGACTTTCAAAAAGACGACTGTCGATTTAACGACGGTTTGAAAAAGAAAAAGACGACGGTGTTTCCCCGTCGTCTATTTCAATTTTTGTAGTAGTGGTGTTATCAATGTTGGTGACATTAAGTTGTTCGTCTGCAAAAGTCTAAACATTTGTGGCAAAGAGATGCATCATGAATTCAAACCAAATTGAAGTGGAAATGAGGGATCACTTTAATAACACGGCTACTTTAGCCATGTGCCACTCACGTGATATAGTAAATGTGAGACACTATCGATTCGTTTTATGGCGTAGACAAGATTTTCTCATTGGGGCGAGGCATCGGAAAGATTTTCTCAATCTCACGTGATATAATAACACGGCTACTTTAGCCATGTGCCCTCTTCTCTCTCTCTCTCTCTCTCTGCCTATTGTATTTCTCATCCCCTCCTCAGACCCAGCCCCCAACACACCTCTATCGCACCTTACCCCCTCCCGTCTCTTTGCCTCTCTCTTCTCTCCCCTCCCCAACCCAACCACAATCACACCTCCATCGCACCCCACCTCCTTTCCCTCTTCTTTCTTTTATATGCCGCTCTCTCTCTCTCTCCCACTCTCAATATCTTTGCCAAGAGAAAAGATGGGGAGTGGTTGTCGATGAGATTTTTTTTTTAAAATTTTGAGTGGTGGTTTGGTGTGTTGAGTAATTCCATGGAGGGTTAGGTCTGGGTTGGGGGTTGGGGGTTGGGGGTTGGGGGTTGGGTCTGGCAAGGGGAGGGGAGAGATGAGAGAGGCAAAAAGGAGAAAGAGGCAGAGAGAAGAGCGAAGACGGAGGAGGGGTAGGGGGTAGGGGTGGGGTGTGATGTTGGTTGGGTCCTTGATAGGAGAAGAGAGAAGCAGAGGGACAGAGGGACAGAGAGAAGAGAGTAGATAAGAAGCTAAAATTACTAGAATGCCCATGCCACGTCAACACATTTAACGGTTTTGTGGATGGAAATGGACCAAAATGGTAAAGTGAGAAAATTTCAGTAATTTTTAGAGATTCAAGGGGTTAAGTAAGAAATTTTTAGTTTAATGAGGTAAAGTAAGACCGAGAGTCCATTTCAGGGGATGAAACAGTAAATAAGCCTTGTTTATATAAGCGATATTAGGAGAGGGGGGAATTGAACCTAGGACCTAGGTACATGGATAAATATTCTTATCTACTTAAGCTACAAGTCCCTTGTACTTGGATTGTTTGTAGATTTGGTTTGGTTTAAATCTCAAGGTGCACCTAAACCAATGTTACATAACGGTTCACGTTGGTTTTGTTTAGGTAACAAAACCAAAACATTCGATATAGTGGTGTTTTGGTTTGGTTATTTGCTTTTATAAGAAAAAATTGAAATATTATATATTCCCTTGTATAACTAGGACTTCATACATAAATTGAAGAATAGCTGAGATGGAGAAATTTGGAGAGAAAGATAACATCAAATTCAAATGATTGATGCATGTTACGAAACATAATAGTAGATGATAATAATCAACAAGAAAATCCCAAGAAGAAATTATATAAGCGGTTTAGTTTAGTTTAGCTTCAGATAAATTGAATCGTCTAAACTTATTACGATTTGATTCAGTTCAATAAAAATTATAGTTATTTATAATAAGGTAAATAAAAAATTCGGATTGATTTGGTTTGGTCGGATTTAACATTGCGGCCAATTTTTTTTGCCCACCAATCAAGTCAACTGCTAAACTTTTCACAAAATCTCCAACAAGAAAAATATTTTTTCTTTTGCAAGACCAACGATAAAATATTATTTTGTGGTGTTCATAAGGCCTAGAATATATAAAATGTTTTTTTAAAGTTTTTTATTTATGCCGAGATGGGCGTGTCAATCCATGCGGCTAGCTTAGCTTCCATCATGGAGGCCCCAGCCTTCTTGACATAGGTGGCTGGCTGACTTTCTTTTTCTTTTCTATGTTTTTTTTTTTTTTGGAAATAATTGTTTTTTATTATTTATTCTGTTTAGTTTTAAAGAAACCAAACAATAGAAAGAAAAATCGAAATCTTTCTCCGCATTGAAAAGTGAAAACCCATTCTTCAGAAAGCTTTTAGTAGTAGTTGCCTATTCTCTCTAGGTTTATTGAATTGAATAGTAATGAAGAAGGCTTCTATTGAAATATAACGGGGATGTCACTGTGACGATATCTCAAGCCTATTACTCATTGAGTCATTGCCATGTCAAAAAGTTAAAATACACAACAATTAATGATTTGCTCAAAATAGCACCATAGTGGTATCCCTTGTATAAAAGTAAGTTTTTCTCGTTTCTTAGGTCGTCAATGGATAAAGAGTCATATTAAAATATTGTATATAGCTGCAAGATGTGTGCATGTCTAAACCAAAAACCAGTTAATTAATCACTAAAAAGGACATGGAAAGTATACTAAAGATGAACACATAATATCGACATTATTGGGTTGACCATCTTAATCCATGCCCCAAATCGATGAAATCTAAGCCAAACTCCCTTGATCAATGTGTTTGGATGACAACATTCTGTCTTCACTTCCTAGGCTTCTACATGCTTGAATATAATATGAGTCTTTTTCTTAGCTGTCTCAAACACCCAAATTTCAAACCCTTTTTTTTTTATTGCGATGCCTTCTCTCAAAATCAATTTTTTATATGATCCTCACATGGATCTCTATGACCTCAATGTTGAATTACTCAAACAGCCTGCCCAATTCCCAAAACTCCACCCAACTTTGGAGAAATAAAACAGAGTAAAACTTTAGCTGTCTTGAAATGAAATACCAGATCATTAGCAGAAACAGAAAAAATGTAAGACAAAATGGGCTAGTAAAGATGAAAATATCATTCACTATCCATTCAAACAGAATCTGGGGGGTGCCTGCAGAGTCCTGACAATTTAAAACTTTTCCACACAAAAATGAACCATGTCAGATTTTGGAGTTTAGGCCATCCAGCCTATTCTTAGTGTCACATGCACTGCATACAACCTGTCCTTTATAAGTTTTGACTAAGAGTTATTTTTGCATCTCTTTGTTCTGCTAACAAAGTGTCTCAAATCATCCAGCAGTGCACATTTCTCTCTTTCCACATAAGATACAGCTCCACTTCTCAAAAGGCAGAAACCAAAAAGCTCTCTCTATATATATATTTTCCCTCCTTTCTTTCCCTCACCCTTTGCCACATCTCAAACCATGTTCACCTTTCAATTAGCTCCCTCTTTCAACATGTTAAAGATTATATCCATCCTAATTTTCCTATTTCCTTCTATGGTATTTGGAGACTGTACATGTGAATCTGAGGACACAAAACACAATAAAGAAGCTGCACTTAAATACAAGCTAGGTTCCATTGCTTCCATCCTTGTTGCTGGTGCTGTTGGGGTCAGTCTGCCATTGCTAGGCAAGAAGATACCAACTCTAAGGCCAGAAAATGACATCTTCTTCATTATCAAGGCCTTCGCAGCCGGCGTGATTCTAGCAACTGGGTTCATTCACATACTACCAGATGCATTTGACAACTTGACGTCACCATGTCTTAAAGAAAATCCATGGGGAAAATTTCCCTTCACTGGTTTTGTTGCCATGTTATCTGCCATTGGAACACTGATGGTTGATTCATTGGCAACCGGGTACTATCAGAGGTCAAACATAAAGTCCAACCAAGTGACATTTCATGAATTGGAGACGGGTGATCAAGTACATAGTCATGCAGCAGATCATGTACATGGCCACACACATGCCACACAGAGTCATGCTCATGGCTCTGCAGAATTGATGTCATCAGAATTAATCAGGCACCGTGTCATTTCGCAAGTAAGGAACTTTATTGAGAAAAGCAAGCATGTCATTACTATTTATTTTGTTCTCTGAAATTTTAGCTTCCATGTCATCTTGTAGGTCTTGGAGCTGGGGATCCTAGTGCACTCAGTTATAATTGGAATATCATTGGGTGCTTCCCAAAGCCCTGAAACAATAAAGCCTCTCATGGTGGCTCTGTCTTTCCATCAATTCTTTGAGGGCATGGGACTTGGTGGTTGCATCTCCCAGGTTTGACTATGCAACCTCCAGTAAGGACCAAGTAGGAAGTTGGTGTTTTAAAAGGAAATCTAACTATGACTAGCTAAATTCTCTTTTGACTTGTTATGTACAGTGCATTCTCTTGATCATAAAAGGATTTCTCTATTTGTCACAATTGCATTCTGATCCATATCTACACTATCATGATCTCACGTACAATCATTAAGCTCCTTCTCCACTGCTTTGCAGGCTAAATTCAAGTCTCGGTCTGCAGTGATCATGGCTGCGTTTTTCTCCCTCACAACCCCAGTAGGGATTGCAATTGGCATTGGCATATCAACCGTTTACAATGGGAGCAGTCCCACTGCTCTAATTGTTGAAGGGACTTTCAATGCTGCTGCAGCTGGGATTTTGATTTACATGGCTCTTGTTGACCTACTGGCAGCTGATTTCATGAACCCTAGACTGCAAAGCAATTTGAGGATTCAATTAGGAGCATATATTTCACTTCTTCTAGGGACTGGTTGTATGTCTGTCATAGCCAAGTGGGCTTGAGGTTCCCATTACATATTAAAGTGTGGTTTGTTAATTAAGGGCGTGTCTTAATCCTTGAAGCTGAGTTGTGAGGTGTTTTTAGGGCTTTAATCCTTGCCTTGGAATGAAGGTATTCGAAGAATTAAAGTGGAATTTGACTCGTGGAATTTGACTCTATCACGATGTTTCATTGATTAAAGGTGAGATTATCACACTCATCCTTTGTTTAGTCTCACATAGGCTGAAACTCTAGTTTGGGTTATCATGTTTTAGAGTCTTCCCCTTTCTCTATTGTAGGCCTATTGGCCAATGATACTGCTAGCGTGCTAGGGTCGTGCCAATGCTTCTATTTTTGGACTTTGGCCCATCTAGATGTGGCCCATTATATGGTTGTCACACGTGAGGAGCGTGTTAAAGATTGTAAAAATACCATATTAGAAACTTGATAAAATAAAATATACAAGTGTATGATTGCATTACTAGTTAAGAGTGTTATAAGTGTTGGTGACATTAAGCTGTTCGTCTGCTAAAGTCTAAACATTAAAGTGGAATTTGACTCGTGGAATTTGACTCTATCACGATGTTTCATTGATTAAAGGTGAGATTATCACACTCATCCTTTGTTTAGTCTCACATAGGCTGAAACTCTAGTTTGGGTTATCATGTTTTAGAGTCTTCCCCTTTCTCTATTGTAGGCCTATTGGCCAATGATACTGCTAGCGTGCTAGGGTCGTCCCAATGCTTCTATTTTTGGACTTTGGCCTATCTAGATGTGGCCCATTATATGGTTATCACACGTGAGGAGCGTGTTAAAGATTGTAAAAATACCATATTAGAAACTTGATAAAATAAAATATACAAGTGTGTGATTGCATTACTAGTTAAGAGTGTTATAAGTGTTGGTGACATTAAGCTGTCCGTCTGCTAAAGTCTAAACATTTGTGACAGAGATGTATCGTGAATTCAAACCAAATTGAATTGGAAATGAGGGATCACTTTAATAACACGGCTACTTTAGCCATGTGCCCCTCTCGTGATATAGTAAATGTGAGACATTGTCGATCCGTTTTATGGCGTAGGCAAATTTTTCTCGTTGGGGTGAGGCATTGAAAAGTGATACCCCTTCTTCAAAAAGCTTTTAGGAGTTGACAATTCTGTTATAGAGTATCACACTTCCTCAACTATAGGTCCGGTGAATTGAATATTCATGAAGAACAGTTCTATTCATTTTTTATGGTGTTTCTTAAGCATCTACAATGGGCTCCATAAACCACATTTTTAGACAAATTTTAGGGAGAAATTAGAAAAATACAACTCCAACTATGCTTCCTATCCACTTCCTAAAATATGGAGACTTCTAGGAGCTCCTTAATCTGAGGAGAGAGAAAGGACTCCTAGTAGCTCCCTATAATTTAATGTTAATTGCTTTGTTTTATGCATATTTTAAACTTTTAATTAATGAAGACTAATTTTTTAAATATTATTTTGTATAGAGAAGACCAATTATATTGAATTAAAAAATAATTATAGTATTTATGACTCTCTAAATTAGGGAGTATGATTGGAGTTCAAATTTTATAGAGAGCTCCTAAAATAGCTTTTATGTGTTTTTAGCTAAATTTTAACTAAAAAATATGGAGCATGATTGTAGATGCTCTTAGTTCATAAGATGAAGACATAATATATCGACATTATTGGGTTGACACCCACCCTTCTGTATAACCTATTCACATTAGTGAAGCGGCTGGATGCATAAGGGAAAATCTTAATACAAGCCCCAAATCAATGAAATCTAAGCCAAACATCCTTGATCAATATGTTTGGATGACTACATTTTGTCTTCATCTTGTAGGCTTCTTACATGCTTGAATGTGAGTCTTTTTCTAGCTGTCTCAGAGCATCCACAAGGATAGTGTGTAAAGGTGAATGTATGCTAAATTTACACTTATTGCCACCGGAAGTTGCTGTAGTGGGAGGATTTAAAGGCTTGTAAATTTACATTGGCCGTTGGATGTGTATAAAAAGATGCTAATTTACATCCATTTTACACCCATTTTGCGGACCCCACAAGCAAGAAATGAGTAGAGATGAAAGAGAAGAGCAATTGAAAAGGTGATTCCACTCTCCATGTACGCGCAAGTAGAAGGATATTCTCTAGAAAAAGCAAAGTGACGAGCCCCATGGAAGACAAAATGCAAATTGGCTAAATACATCCTTCAACGGTCACCAAATAGGTGGCCCAAATTGTTTCTTTTAGAAAATCAATGGCCTAGATTTAATTGCATTTGATTAACAACAACAAAAAATCAAATATGCATCTTCCCCATTGGAGCAGAGTTCATATTTACATCCCCCAGAAGTGTAAATGAGATGTAAAAGTGGCTTTACACCCCACCACTATTGTGGATTCTCTTAGACACCCAAATTTCAAAAAAAAAAAAAAAAAGAAGAAGGTAAATTACTCAAATGGTCCTCAAATTTATACCCAATTTACATTTTGGTCCCTAAACTAAATTATTCGTTCAAATGGTCCACCAACTCTTTATTAATCGGCACTTTGGTCCTACCATTACATTTTCTGTTAAATTTAGTCATGTGAGCAACACATGCTACATTTGTGGGGGTAAATAAGACTTTTGACCTATGTATCACCCCTTTATCACCACTGTATCGCTACTTTATCACCACTTTATCACCTACGTATCACCACTTTATCACCTATTTGGGGAACATAGGACAGTTATGGATGGTTTTACCCTTACATTTGACGGCAACATTAACATAATTTAACGGTAGGATCAATGGAGCGATTAATAGAGACTTGATGGACCATTTGAACGAATAATTTAATTGAGGGACCAAAATGTAAATCGGATATAAATTTGAGAACCATTTGAGTAATTTACCCAAAAAAAAATCTTTTTTCTGTCATCCCTTCTCTCAAAATCAATTTTTTATAAGACCATCATGAATCTCTATGACATCACTCATTTTGTACCCTTCTAGCTTATGATTTGGTTATGTTTTTGAGTTAAACTTGTGCTTTTAATCCTTTTTGTGTTTATCTTTCAG